GTTGAGTTTTTCAACACAATTTGAAGACTGGCATTCGAATCAGCGCCAAACTATCACATGACGAACTCACACATACGATTCATCATCACATATAGTTAATAAAGCCGTTACCAACACATTCAACAGTTAACACACACAACTTAACCTCGTCTTTCAACGCATTGTGATGTTGTCTATAAACTTTGCACGTAACGTCTCATATTTTATTTAGTATTCCTGAAGCACTGAACATAAAATAGAACCGACAAACATAGGGGAATAATTAATTTACTTGATCATTTAAAACGAAGGGCAAAACGCCCTAGACAGTTCTAAATAATAGACTGATAATTACAGAAATGAAGAACGGAAAAGCTTTCAAATTAGTGACGAGTGATCACACACTACAATACTACACAAGTTCGGACAATATCATTTCGTCGGCACCGCCATGTCTTATGTTTTTCTGGCCCCAGAGCCGTCACAAATTTTAGAGGGTACACACTACGGAAACAAAGTTACATCATGTTGTCGTGCAAATAAATGCGCAATGTTTACGAAATGGGAACCTCAATATTCAGTATAGAACTAGGAACCAACCTAAGAAGTTGAACGACACAAGATCAACTGTGTCGCGTTTGTGACTGTATTAAATTCCGCCTTGACTGACAACATGAAACATGATAACAAATGCTAAGGTAAATCAAAATTAAATAAGTCACAATGATACTGCACAAGATATAATGCCACCCCGTCAACGATACCGAAAACAATTGGTATCATTTTGATAGCACACTAGCACAACTGTCTGTATCTTTTCGGCCATCAAGCTCAGGAAGCAAAACAAAAGTAAATCGTATCAGATGTCGTTCACGTTATCTGTATTACAACATAAAACTGATTGCTGAAATAACCAAATGAAACCGTTGGCGTCTACTACTGACCCATGGGCGACCAGGATTTTGTATACGTTTTGAAGGCCAAGCCCGTAACATGTAGCGTCACGTAACAAAACATGACTTCGTAACAAACTACAGACATCGCACGTCTCGTAGACGACCAGATCTGCACGTGATCAGTACCGTTACTTTCGTCATTAACAATGAACGACAGCAAATAAAAAATATGAGACAAAATCTCAATCAAATCGACATTCTTAAGTTTCGTACATTATACACAAAAATATCTTCAAAACGGTGCTCTCTGAAACACTTCAAGTTCTGTTTCACACCCAGTAGGATACGCTTCTGGGCCATACCGCTTCCAGTGTACTAAAGGTAGAGAAATATGCTCTTTGTAAAGTTACTTCAAGTCTTATTCTACATGTTCTTATTTGACCCCATGAATGTTTCGTAATTTCGTTCTAGAATTCTATTCAATTGTATGCTGTACCATTGTGTTGTAGAAGCATTGTCGATGGCTTTTGTGTCAGAAGTCTAAATGTCGGAATAAAACAAACGAATATCATTTGTTAGGATATAGCCTTTTGGACTGAAAAATATTTTCCTACTTACTTCAACCCTAGCATGTTACATTTGCCATTCAAAATAATACATCTTCAAACTTCCAGATCCAGTATTACAAAGGGTTACAAGCACGACTATAACGCAAGAACAGAAATATTTACTTACCAAATGTATAAACCCTGCGGCCGTTAGGCTCACACTCACAAATATGCTAACCAGTTGGGCCAGCCGTATGGAACTGCTCGTCTTCATCACGTTCAAATACTGTAAAATATCTGGCACGGTCATCAAACGAAGAGCTCGAAGGAACCTTAATCCTGAAAATACCAGCAACGACATTTCTGTAAACATTAACGTGTCAGTGGTTACGAGCAGAAACGTTTCTCAGTTATTTCAATTTCTATTACTTCATTTGTTTAGAACAAGTGAATGTGTCTTCACACCACTCAAAATGGCAATGAAACAATTTCTGCCAATAATCTGTAATGCGTACGCATGCACCTTACAAATCATACCTCTACTCAGCGGGGCGTGCACAACTGCGGGAGGGCACGACCGTTATCAGTGAACCACAACATATTCCTAGTACTCACTACGTTAATAAAAACCATGTGATACACTCCAGAACCATCGACTAACGAAGAACTCGTAACTGGCGTATTTCGTCAGTAGGTGGCACAGGGCAGAGGTCTTGTCCTGTGATACTCTGCTCTCTACTGGGTAGAGTAAAATGACCGAAACCGCCGGATCACATAATCAGGTGGAAACCAGGACTTATGTCATATTGCGGAGTCATATGCAAACGAAAAATGAGCAATCCTCGTTAGCCATTACGGCAGTTATCATACAAAGAAGAAACTGCAATCGGAAGTTGGAATGGAATGATTAGACAAACAAGATATGATCACGGCATCATGTTGTTTGTATACGTGTTTAGATTAGATACTGCATACCTAACAGTAAACCTAGCCAAAACAAATGCAAACTACATTTATCAGAGCTCTGAGCCTGATGCTCGAAAGTCAATGAACAGTTCTCACGATGAACAGACTTTCATAATCAAAGCTAATTAATGCCAGCCTGCCGGGCAGAACATCACGAATCAACTGATCTAGGCCATCATCATAGTAACGTATATCTGTGATTAATCCAAAAACAATGGTAGACAAGGAGGCTGAAAAAATTTTTAAACCTTATCCTTAAAGTAACCTCATACGATAGGACGATAATTGTATTAAATCTCCGGACCTAGAAAATTATCAATGCGCATCAAAAAAGAAAGCAATATCTGTGTTGTTGAAACATTAGTCATTGGCGCTGCAATTGAAAGGGCAATGTGGAAAAGATTATCACTTGGAAATCCTAGACAGGCCGATAATCCAAAACGACATGAAACCGATTAAGAGATATAGATATTAGTATATTTACTATATGACATAGACAACCGTGGAAAGATTTTCCTAATACGGTGTTCACGCGTATGAACCATTTAAGTTTAAATGTAAGTTAAGTGCAAAATTTACCTAACCAGTTTCGTTCCAGATAAATTGCCACGAACGAAGGCGGTATGGTAAAGTAGTCGACGAAACTGTACACCTCGAGTAAAAACCATATTTTGTCGGTTGAGGCGATGAACTAAAACGAGAACAGGCTTAACTACAGAAACTCATAGAGCGACATTAACTGTGAATCTGAAATGCCTTCAAAAGGGATGGAAACAGACATTTCGGAAGTGCCTTGATATGGTATGAGCTTAAACCATAACAATGATCCTCTCTTCCTTCGAGAGCTCAAAATTAAAAGCAAAACAATGTTTAACATCCGATTTCCTGGTATCTGCTATGAAGCAAATCCGATGGAAATGCACCATACTTTAAACTATGCAATTTCACCGAGGACTAAATAATTTCTCTCATCATTTGTTTAGCCTCAGTCTCTCTTAAAGCATCTTGGTGCTTTAATGTGTCGTCAAGAACACAGCAAAAGCTGGAAGAATGGTCCACAATACCATAGCTGAATACGCCGCAAATTAAACGAGAATCTTCAACATCGGCATAGAAAGCACTCCATTCGCTGCATAATATGATTATCAGAGGTTCTTACCGAAGACAGTTCACAACTGTAAACTCACAGCACTTACGGAGTTCGAAACAATCATCGCTGATAACATCTGCCTTTAGAAGTACATTACCGACCTGCCTTTTTTGTCTCCTTACATATCAGTTACATGTATATTTTCGAACTCTTTAAATATCCATAAAAAGTGTCCGTCCCTACCTATGTGTCTGTTTCTAATAAGCATATTTTTGTCTGCCCAATTTCTATATACCTTTGTTTCTATGACCGACATTCCTCCTGTCCGACATTTTCGTTCTTGACTTGGAAGAAAGTGAGGCATACATTAGAAGCAGTTTTTAGTCTAACTGCTTCTGTCGATTCATACCTCATTGACACAGGGATACACTACCTAAGAGGTAAGCTTTTAACTCCGAAGGTAATGGGTCAATTCTGGCTGAGGGATCTCTGGCTTAACCAGGAATTCTCCTAACTAAAACATTTACCACAAGTGCACATTGCTCACTGGGTAGAGCATGCGACCCAGATTCGATAGATCTCAGCGTCGAGCTCTGGTCAGGCGGATTTTCTTCCTTCTAAAGTTCATACACAGATACCACTTCGTGGGGAGGAAACAGGATACTATGCACTATACTTCTCACACTGCCGGTCTCGACTCTGCCTTTAAATTAATGCACTCCTAGCCAATGAAACAGAAACGCGGAACGGCCCTCTATCATTAACGGCAGCGAAAAGAAGGCTTCCAAAGGGAAACATCGATCCATCATTTAAAATGTAAGCAAAACTGCCATTCCAACGACTACAACACTTTCTTCTTTCAATCATCATTCCTTTCCTTTTAATCCTAGTCCTTTGAAGTATCGTATACATACTCCTTTACAGTTTCGCCTTTTCTCATACAGTGTGTAATCAAAGCGCACTACTAGCGCTAACTGCGCGAAACTTGGAAGCAGTTTGCAAAGTTCTGCAATTTGGATATAGCGAAGATGATCAAGTTTCTGTCTGAACGAAGAACTCTCATTAACCACGCGTAAACTCAATGAAATTAAAAGATAAAAAATAAAAGAAACAGTTCTATGACGTACCCGAATGAAGAAGTAGATCAGGAAGAATATGTTGAACGCGAGGTCAATTTGCTGCGACGGGCTTTGAACCCACGAAACGCAAGTCTCCACCTGGAAATGAGGGCTGAAAATAGCAAATCATCATCAACATGACATGTCAAGTTTGATGCTCCAACAGTTTGCAGGTAGCTGCTTTTCGGCAATTCGACATACCGAAATCAAAAGAACGCGGACAGAAAAAATATATGACACTTTCAGATCGGAGAGAAATCGAGTCGAACGTACAAAAGAATCACATTAAAACTTGCATAATTAATGCGCAAATCTCGACCTCAGAAAAGCAATCAGTTGTGACGAATGAAATTGGTTAGTCAGGAAAAAAATCCTCCTTTCATCCTCCAACTGTCACTTAATGATTATTAATTAGCCTCCATTCAGCGTATCAGCGAACGCTGCAACCGAATGACGCTCCTTAGCCATTCAGAGTAAGACATTTCGAATGGGAGGATGTTTAGTCATGTATCCAAACATCCAGTCATGCAATAAAAGGAAAGGACCTCTTCCCTCCCTGTTATTCATTCGGTCCAGAGACACATACATATGCAAGTGCGCGTTCATTCGTGAGATAATGAACAACCTCAAAGTATTTAGTTTGTTGTGGTTTTAGGAATAATCTGGGACACAAGTGTGGCGATGTTGAAATGCGTTGGTAAATGAAATAAGCTAACATTCCGCAGTAAAATTATATCGTCAATCACAAAAATAACAATTAATATTATTCGGACAACGAACCTACATCTTCTTCCATATCTTTTCATTTCGTGTCTATTCAAAATATTTATAATTTTCAATTTTCACTAAACTGCCAGATTTTAATTCACGAGGATTGCCTAAACTTAAACCCATAAATTACGGCAGTTGCTGAAACATGCGAGTTTGCCAACTCACAAGAAAGCACAAACATAACGGCCCTTCATTCCTGTAATTAATTAATATATGCTCGTAGAAATATCCAATACAGATCAACGTGCTTTTTCATTATAAAGCAGAAAATTGATTACCAATCGCAAGTTAATTAGTGAGATTAATTTACGATAAGCACAGTTTACAACAGCTAACCTTCATATGCGAAATAAATTGCTAACCGCGAGGTTACTTTTCGTACGCAGCCTCGATTTATATTTAGAAACGGAACAAGCTCATGATAAACGTCATTCCGTAATAAGAAGGGTTGATGGCAACGGGTGTAAAATATGACATCAGGTTTTATTTCAGCATCTTAAAAAAAGTAGGATAACGTTAACCCTATACCTCTCCCTACCGTAAGTCGCTAAGTCGCTCGCTCGTACCTCAATAATCAAGAAAATATTGGCAATTATTAACTTCATAGAGAGTAAACATACTTCAATGTTTACGTGGCGACAGATAAAGTCTACAAACTCGTCAAACATTGTTCGCAAGGAGCGCGAGGTAACTCTGGCGAAGGAAATGATGCGAGACGCATCTGGAACTACAGGTACCGAAATACCATGCAACCGCTGTCAGTTTAAACTACACCACGCAACTAATAGCAGTGAGGCTATTAAACCGAACACCCTGGGTATTACAGCTGAAATGATTAAGGCCTGTCATAGTCAACGTGCTCATCAGCTTTTCTCCCACAGGTCATTTACGATGAT